AATCCATGTGGAACACTTTCATTAGGTGTTCTCTCTAATTATCACATCTCAAAATTACCTGAACTTCAATCAAGAAATTAACATAAGCTTACAGATTCCTTCATCTTAAGCGAAAAACTATTTCACCTTTTCATGTGAGAGAATATTGGATTGAGATGGGTCTAAATGGGGTACCTGGATAGTGAAGATTCATATAGACGACCCAACTAGCTTGGGATTGAAGCATAGCTATTATTGTTGCCATGATATTTCAAATGTATTAGCTTCTATTTTATTCATGGAATTCCATAATGATCATGATAGTTACAGAATATCCAAGAAGCAGTTAGGAATCCTTTCACAAGAATGATAAACTGACGACAGCAGCCTTGCCATATGATAGCACGTATTGCATATTCAATAATGAAAAGCAGTCGATATTTGCATAAATATGTAACTCCATATTATTGCTTCTGTTTAGCCTATATCGGCTTAACTACAGGGAGCAGCCAAATTAGGCTTTTGCTAATAGATAATTATAAAAAAAAAATGTGAATAAAAAAAACAGATGATAAAAACTGTGACATGAAACATGAACTCTTCAAAGCAAACTGTGAGCCTGACATACCTGGCAGCGCAACTGTGTATGTGTAGCTCCAACATATTGTTTGACCAGTCTTCCTGTGCCAACTTCCCAAAGCTTCACCGAAGAGTCTTTTGCCGAAGAGAGAATATACCTAGAGACATATTTGAAATAAACAAGCTTCAGTAGGCTTATAGCCCTATATACTATAGCATGCTGTACTACCCTGTACAAATCATTTCAAAGGAATTTTAACCAGGAGACTTAAACAGGTAATTGGCGGATTAGTGGAATGCTCCCAATCTGCATTTGTTGAAGGGAGACATTATTGATAATATATTGTTTAGTCATGAGATTTTTAAGTGCTATTCTAGGAAATGGATTTCTCCAAGGTGTGTTCTCAGGTGGACCTAAGGAAAGCTTATGACACTTTGGAATGGGGCTTTATAAGGAAATTGTTAATAGACATGGGGTTTCCTGCCAAATTTATTCATTGGATTATGACACGTGTGTCTATAGTGTCCTATTCCTTGATGCTTAATTGACTCCTTTTATTACCAAAAGAGGCATTAGACGTCTTTTTGTCTTGGCTATGGAGTACTTGGGAAGAAGGCTGAATCAATTAGCTAGGAATGGGAACTTCAATTTTCACCCAAGGTGCAGGAAGTTGGGCAGTGTACATATTTGTTTTGCAGATGATCCATTGATGTACTGCAGGGCTGGCATTATCTCTGTTAGGTTGCTAATGAAGCATTCATGAAGTTATCCAACGCATCTGGTTACAGGCTAATGTAGATAAAAGCTCACTATATATATATTTATTTATTTATTTTGATGAAGTAAGTTGTTTCATTACCGGCATCAAGAAGATGCTAACAGTACAAAAGTAGATATGCTAGCTCCGTTACATGATAGCAGCTAAGACACGGGAGCCAGCCACCAATTCAAAAGATCTAGACAAGGCTTAAAACATGACTATGTCTGGCCTAGAGTTAAAGAGCTAATAAATCTAAGAAAGCAGTGTAACTATTCACATAAGACAGGTTGGACCAACAAAAAAGACTGAACAAACATTTAGCTTTGAGTGAGCGATTAGGAGTTGAAATTCCCTCAAAACACCGTTGATTCCTTTCTGTCCATAGGCACCAAAAAATACATGCTGGAATCATTCTCCAGGTGTTCCTGATGGCCCCATCAACTGTCAAATGGCCCCAACTCACAACAACTTCTCTGATAGTTTGAGGCATCACCCAGTTCAAACTGAATAGGGAAAGGAACATATGCCATATGCCTGCAGCCACCGCACAATGCAAGAAAAGATGATTTACTGATTCTGCACTTTCCTGACACAAATAACACCTGCTGACCAGCTGGAAGTTTCTTCTACAAAGATTGTCCACTGTCAAACAAGCAATCTTTAATGCCAACCAGCTGAGGCATATTATCTTTGGTGGTAACTTTGTTTTCCAGATTAGTTTCCACGGCCATAAATCTGTAATATCATTCTGCGCGTGCAACAATTTATACCCCTTCTTTATAGTGTATTCCTTTGCCTTAGGACCCCAACACATGATATCCGTAGCTTGTGGATTCATGTTGTAACCTTCCGGTCTACCCATTAATTCAATCAGACTGCCAAGCTCCCAATCATTGAAGCTTCTCATGAAAAGTAAATTCCATTTATTGTCCTCTCTGTTCTGCGCAACTGTAGAGTCAGGATCACGTGCTATTAGGAAGAGAGTTGGGTAAAGCTCTTTCAAGATGAAATTCCAAAGCCAACTATCTTTCCAGAAATTCATGTTCAGACCATTCCCAACTTTGAAAGAAATTTATTGAACAAAATCTTCCCAATATTTGCGTATATGTTTCCATGCCCCTACCCCGTGTGAAGAATTGCTTTGCTTAGTTCACCAGTGGCTTAGTTCACCATGCTTGGCTGCTACCACTTTCTTCCATAAGCTATTTCCCTCTATTCCATATCTCCATAGCCATTTTAACAACACGCTTTTGTTATGCTTGGCTAGGTCCCTGATTCCCAAACCCCCTTGCATCTTTGGACTGACCACGTTACACCATTTAACTAAGTAAAACTTGTGCCCTTCACTGTTACCCTCCCAAAGGAAGTTCCTCCTGACTTTATCCAGCTATTTCAGACCTTGTCGGGCAATGGGAATAGTGACATGAGATACGTAGGGATACTATCCATGACACTATTGATGAGAGTTAGTCTACCACCATAGAAAGATATTGCCTCTGCCAAGTAGCTAGCCTTTTCTCCACCTTCTTGATAACACTGCTCCAAATATCAATGGACTTATATTTTGCCCCCAAAGGGAGACCCAAGTAGGTTGTCGAGAAAGACCCAACACTACAGCATAATTGTTCAGCTAAATCATGAAGATCAGGAGTTGTATTCACAGGGTATATCACACTCTTCAACATATTGATATGGAGACCTAAAATAGCTTCAAATATAAGAAGGGTCAGATTAAGATGCTCTACTTGGAATCTATCGGCACCACAAAATATCAAGGTATCATCTGCATAAAGCAAATGAGAAATTGATACTGAGGTTTCTATGTTATTTCCCACTGTGAACCCTTCAATCCACTGTAACTGCTTGGCTCTGTCCAACATCTTGCTGAGGCCTTCCATGGCAAGAATAGAAAGTAAGTGTGAGAGAGGATCACCCTGTCTGATGCCTTACTGAGGAGAAAAAAATTCAACTGGGCTTCTGTTAACTAAAACAGAGTATTTGACTGTAGTGATGCTGTATTCGATCCGTTTAATTCACCTATCTCCAAAATCCATCATCCTCAGCATATGCAATAGGTAAGTCCAACTAACTTAATCAAAGGTTTTTTCAATATCCAGTTTACACAAAATGCCTGGCTGTCCACTTTTGAGCCTCTAGTCTAGAACTTCATAAGCTATTAAAACAGCATCTACGATTTGCCTGGACTTGATGAAAGCATTTTGTTGCACCGAAATCAGCTGCCCAATCACAGTTTTTAGTCTTTCCGCCAGGACTTTGGCGAGGATTCTGTAAACACTGCCTATAAGGCTTATCGGCCTATAGTCTAGGAGTTCAATGGCACCTTTCTTTTTTGGAACCAGTGCTATGAAAGAGGTATTGTTGGACTCGACCATGTAACAACGCTGATGGAAGTGATGCATTGCCCCCACCCCCAAAACATCAGTTTTAATAAAATCCCATGTCTTCTAGTAAAATGCCATAGTATAGCCATCGGGACCTGGAGCTTTATCGGGGGCGCAAGGGTTAATTGTTGCAAGTATTTCATCTTCCTCAAAAGCTCTTTCTAAACATTCCCTTTGCTCCATTGTAAGGCTGGCTAGATCTTCAAAGGTTGCAGTAGGCCTCCATTGCTCTTTTTTAGTGTACAGATTTTGATAGAAGTCGAGAATTGTTGTTTTGATATTTATCATCCATAATCTCATCTCCCACCTTCAGTGTATCAATCTGATTGCTCCTCTTGAAGGAGTTCGCAATCCTTTGGAAGTATTTGGTGTTTCCATCAACCTCCTTAAGCCATAAACACTTGGATTTTTGCCTCCATGACACTTCTTCCGCCTTAGCGATTTATTGTAGTTCCATTTTTAGGACCATCATTTTTTCTTTTTCTGCTTGGGATGGGAGCCTGTTTTCGATTGCCTGCTCAATAGCCATAAGTTCATCCAGTGCTTTGCTCTTTCTGGTTTCCATCTTGCCAATGACTTCTCTGTTCCAGTCGGTGATATCTTGTTTAAGACACCTCAATTTCTAAGATAAAATAAAATCTAGACTCTCCCTAATAGAGTAGTTCTGCCACCATTCTTTAATTTTATCTAAGAACCATTCCTCTTGCAACCACATGTTTTCAAATTTAAAATAGGAAGGATTGTCTTCCCAGTCACCATTTAGCAGAAGTACAGGTCTGTGGTCTGACATAACTTTTGGAACAGCAATTTGTTTTATAGATTTAAAGGTGTCACTCCATTCAGGTGATATCAAAAACATGTCTATTCTAGAATCTTGAATAGAATCTTCTCCTCAGTACCAAGTATAGAAAGCACCCTGTAAAGGGAGGTCAATTAAGTTCAGATCTTGGATGGTATCTGAGAAGTTTTTCATGGCTTTCGATCTTCTGATGCAGTTATACCTTTCACTTTGAAATCTGCATACATTGAAATCACCACCGATGACCCACTGCTCATTCCAGATACCTCTAATAGCTGCAAATTCGAGCCATAGATCCTCCCTTTCTGGATTAGAGTGAGGGCCATAAACACCTGTGAAACACCATCGGAATTCTTCCAAAGAACTCTCTAACATACACGAGAGAGTGAATGAACCTTGTTGCACATCAATGCAACTCTAGAACCTTTTATCCCAGAGAATTATTATCCCACCCTTACTACCACTTGCTTTCAGCTCAGTCCAACCAGCCCATCTATTGCCCCATATTTGTTGAATCATCTGTGACTACCAATCTACTATTTTTGTCTCCTGCAGGCAAATTATGTCTGCTTTCCATTTACCCATTAAAGATTTCACTGAACTTTGCTTAGCTGCTTCATTCACCTCCCGCACGTTCCAACTAATAATTTTTACTTTCATTCAGAAAGAGCTTTGTGAAACCTGCCCCTATCCTCCTTTGCCATGCCATCATAATTTAAACCACATTTCAGCCTTCTAGCTCGAGTTCACCTTTTCTTCGAGACTTTTTTGCTGAACCACCCTCTGATTTTTGTTAATTCAATTGCAGCTGCCTCTTATGTTCCATGAATAAGACCATGTCCACGATTTCATGCTCAAATCCTGTTATATCAACCCCAAAAGCCTTGCATGCCTTGACCATCACAGTTTTGGTCCACCTGGAGGTTTGGAGGTTTCAATTACCGTAGGTAGTCTTTCCCTTCTCTCTCTCTCTCTCCAGCATACACTTTTCGATGGTAAACCTACCATTGCGTAAGTTATGGAGCAGGGAATTTCTTTTACATCGAGTGGGAAATTCTTTAGACTAACGAGCAGTGGGGACAGTTGGTTCATTTTAACTGAATATAGCAGAAGGTTCACGAGCAGCACCAGAATAGATGAAAGTAATCTCAGATGGATATGTATATCCCTAAAGCAGGCCTCCAAGCAGTCGGGGAACAAATGCAGAAGATGGGGAAGGAAAATACAAGCTTATTCAGATAGAGCAATACAAAATTTCAACAATGATGGACGCTTTGTGAGAATAGAAACTATTCTAGGGGACAAAAGGGCAACATTATCATTCTGAAAGACAGATACAACAAGGGATGGTATGATATTGCCAGAAAGATTCTAAAATATTTGGGCTCTTTGGTAGATCCAAGATTCCATTTAGCAGATGAGCAATCTAAATCTTTCATGGAGGCAACAAGGATCCCTACTTGGCTAAACACAATCAGTTCTGGAGCAGGACATGCCAGTCACAAAGGGTTGATGGAAAAGGGAGCACTTCCTCTCGAGATGTCTTGTGGGAGAATTTAATGACCCATTCAACACTAGTCCAAATGCAGATATCATCCAAAAATGGTCTGTGGGCAGGTGGCAAGTTACTGCAGGACTTAAAGTCACACCCATTAACCATAATCAATTTCTTTTTGAGCTTCCATCCAGACTGGAGGCATGTAGGGTAAAAGCTGGTGATTGGTTCTGGAAGGGACGAAAGCTAACTCTTGAATGGTGGTCTCCAGTGGCTGGCTCGAAGCTAACCTAAAAGAAATCTGATCATAAATGGATTAAGGTTTTTGGAATTCCACTACATGCATATGGTCTTCAGAAAACTTTAAATTTATCGGAGATAAGTGCGGATGCTATGTTGGAGTTGATGAAGACACGAAACACAAACACACATGCTATGGGCTCGAATTTGTGTGAAGAAGAACATGAAGGTAATCTCGAGATCTCACAGTCTTAGAGGATCTACATACGGTCTTTCATCTCGCCGGAAAAGCCACTTTTCTCGAGAAAGGGAAGTCAAAGGAAGAAGTTGGCACCTCGAACCTCACATGAAAAGACACAAAGGGACAGCTCTAATTCAAAAAGGAGCAGCTTTAATTCAAAAGAGGACAGCTTTACTTCAAAAAGGGACAACCTGGATTGTCTAGTGGACAGAAGGGCAAAAGTCAAAGAATCTAATAATGTTAATGGGAGTGGGCCCAGTGCTGAATCAACTACAAATGGGCCTAGAAGCTGATCAGATTTATTACCAAACAGGCCCAAATGGCAAGAGGGGAAAAACTAAAGTTTTAAATGAGGCCAAACTCTTTAAGCTTAAAACCATTTGGCAAGTCAAAAAACCCAACCCAGCTTCTAATAGATTCAGTGCTCTATCACAAACAGAATCCGTAGAGCAAATATCAGGAGTGGAGCAGTCAGATGCAGATGATGAAAGAATTACCCTTGAAAGAATCCACAGGCCATTGCAACAATACACCTCAAGCAGGGACTGGTTGCCTTTTCCAGCTCAGATACAGATTTCCCCTCGATAGCAATAAGAGAAGCTTTATCACTGACTTGGTATGAAGGTAACCCCAATCCACAGGTTATAGACAAACCAACTGTAGTCGAGACATCAAAGTGGACAAAAAGCACAATGGTTAAGGCATGCAAAGCCTTCGGGGTCAATGCTACAGGTTTTGAACATGATCTCTTAGATTTAGTTCTAAGAATGGAGCAAAGAAGACAAAAACAAGTTCAAAAGTTGGAGTTAAATCAAAAGGAGTCCGGGAGTCTGAAAAAAAAAACAGAGGAGAAGGGGAGAGGAAAAGATTAATTTGTGGGATCAATTATGACAAAAAAGAACAACAAAGTAGTAGAAGTAGGGGCAGGCAGTACACCTCACTGTCTGGATGAATTTGAAAGTCCTTAGTTGGAATATAAGGGGGCTGAATGAGGAGGGGAAGAGAAGCACTATCAAATCCCTCATTCAGAAGTGGAAAGTAGACATTTTATGTTTACAAGAAACCAAAATCCAAGGCTGCAATAGTAGACTAATACAACAATTATGGGGGAATAAATGGGCTGATTGGGTGGAACTTACAGCAAACGGCACAAGAGGTGGTATTATAGTGATCTGGGATAAAAGGAAATGGGTGAAAACGTACACACAACTGGGCTGTTACTCGATCTCGTGTATGCTACAAAGTACACTTGAAGAGAGTTCAGATGGTGCTTCACGGGCATTTATGGTCCACATACTAATCCGGAAAGGGAGGAGATGTGGGATGAACTAGCAGGGTTAAGAGGACTTTGGGAACATAAGTGGGTCATAGGGGGTGACTTCAATGTATGCAGATTTGAAAGTTAATGGTTAAATTGCAAAAAGAGATCAAGAGCCATGGCAACATTCTCAGACATAATCCAAGGCCTGGGGATAATTGACCTACCATTGCACGGAGCCCAATTCACTTGGTCCAGAGGTGAGAACAATCAACAAGCTTCTAGAATTGACAGATTCATCATATCCCCGGAATGGAATGACTCTTTCAAGGTGTGAAACAAATTGCATTGCCAAGGGTAATTTCAAATCACAAGCCCATTTTACTGGAAAGTGGGGATTGGGATGCCACTGATTCCTACTTTAAATTTGAGAACATGTGGCTGGAAGTTGATGGCTTTCTACATAAGCTAAAACACTGGTGGCAGAGCTACAATTTCAATGGGAGGCCTGATTTCATCCTTGTGCAAAAATTGATGAGTCTAAAGGACATAACCACTTGGAACAAGGAGGAATTTGGAAAACTGGAGACCAGGAAAGGAAAAAAGCACTAGATGAGTTGATGATCTTGGAACAAAACACTGAAGGCAAACAAATGAGCACTGTAGAGGCTAGTCAAATGACAAGCCTGAGAGCTGAGATACAACAATTAGCCAAGATAGAGGAGATCTCATGGAGGCAAAAATTCAGGTGCCTCTGGGTCAAGGAAGGGGATAGGTACACCAAATACTTTCAGAAGATTGCTAATTCTAATAGAAGATCCAATTGCATAGACCGACTTCTGGTAGACAATGTGGTCATTGAAGATAAGGAGACAATTAAAAAAGAAAAGACAGGAGTTCTTTGAAGGAGCGTACACTGAACAAGAAGAGTGGAGGCCTAAAATCATGTTTGAAGGAATTGCCTCTATCACAGCAGAGGAAAGCAGTAACTTAGAAGCAGCTTTTGGAGAGGAGGAAGTATTAGCAACCATTAAATCAAGTGCCCCTGACAAAGCCCCCGGACCTGATGGTTTTAGTATGGCTTTCTTTCAGAGCTCTTGGGAGTTTATCAAGACAGATCTATTAGCAGCTATGCAACACTACCATCAACATTGCTGGATAGTTAAGTCTTGTAATGCTTCATTCATATTACTTATTCCTAAGAAAAAGGGGGCAAGCAAACTTAGGGATTACAGACCTATCAGTCTGATTGGAAGCATATACAAGATAATTGCAAAAGTCCTCGCAAATAGATTGAAGACAGTTATGGGGAAATTAGTCCCAAACCAACAAAATGCCTTCATCAAAGGGAGAAAAATCATTGATGCCTCACTCATAGCAAATGAGGTGCTTGATTAGCAATTGAAACAGGGAATGCTGGACTACTTTGCAAATTAGATGTTGAGAAAGCCTTTGACCATTTGAATTGGTCTTATCTCATCTATTCTCAGGCAGATGGGGTTTGGTGATAGGTGGATTAAATGGATTAAGTTCAACATTTCCACAGTGAAGTATTCAGTTCTAATCAACAGAAGCCCAGTAGGATTTTTCTCTGCACAGAGAGGCCTAAGGCAAGGTGATCCTCTTTCACCTTTTCTATTCATCCTAGCTATGGAAGGGTTGAGTAAGAATAATGAACAAAGCCAAACAACTGCAATGGCTCAAAGGTTTTGATATAAGAAGGAATATAGCAGTTAACATCTCACATTTGCTTTACACAAATGATACATTGATCTTTTGTGAGGCTGACAGAGAGCAGGTCCTATATCTAAACCTTACGCTACTTGTATTTGAAGTTCTTTCAGGTCTCCATATAAACATGCTCAAGAGTGTGATCTATCTTGTTAATGAGGTGCAGAACATTGAGGAGCTGGCAGACACATTGGGTTGTAGAACTGAAATTTTCCCAACCACTTACTTAGGCCTTCCATTGGGGGATAAATACAAGGCGGAAGGCATCTGGTGTGGAATGATTGAAAAGTTTGAAAAAAGGCTTGCTACACGGCAAATGTAGTACCTCTCTATGGGTGGAAGACTTACATTGATAAACAGTGTACTTGATAGTATCCCAACATATAGTATGTCACTACATCTCATATCTAGTAATGCTTTGAAGCAACTGGACAAAACCAGGAGGAATTTTCTAGGGGAAGGGAATAACAAAAGCCATAAATTCCATTTTGTCAAGTGGCCAATAGTCTTGTTACCAAAAAAGTTAGGCGGTTTGGGCATAGAGAGTTAGCATTGCACAACAAATGCCTACTTATGAATTGGTTGTGGAGATACACTCAAGAGGAGCATAGCCTTTGGAAGGATGTGATTATTGCTAAACATGGAGCACTAAACCACTGGTGTTCTAATGTTTCAACAGCGCCATATGGAGTTGGTGTCTGGAGAAGTATAAACAAACTATTGGAGGAGTTCTCTCAACATAAACACTTAATTTGCAGGGAATGGACAACATATCAGTTTCTGGAGAGACAAATGGATAGGCAACTCCTCCTTAATGGTTGCTTATCCTACCATGCTCCAGAAAGCAAAGGAGCCTAACTCTACTATTCAGCAATACAGAGAAGGGAATTCTTGGACCTTCATCCTCAGAAAGAACATAGAAGACTGGGAAATTGAGGAGTTGGTCAGCCTACTAGCAGCACTTCACAATGTTGCAATTAACAGTGAAATACCAGACCAGCTCAATTGGGGAGAAAAAAGGGGTGGGAAGTTCTCAGTTAAAGCAGCCTTCAAGCTTCTAGACCCACGAAATGCAATTACAGACCACTGGCCTTGGAAGCTTATATGGAAGATCAAATTGCCACCTAAGATTAGTTGCTTCAGCTGGATTGCATTCCATGGAGCTTGCCTGACCCAAGACAACCTGACCAGAAGGAAATTCAGATGGCTACCAGATTTATATGTGCAAGAAGGAAGCAGAAACAGACAACAACCTATTTCTACAATGTCAAATAGCAGCAAACTTGTGGAGTATGTTTTTAGATCTTTTTGGCCTCAAATGGGTCATGCCTCAAAATATCAGGGATGCTGTAATAAGCTGGGGTTGCTGGAAAGTTGATAGCACCATCAAGAGAATTTGGAAGATGATACCTGCAGACATTTCTTAGAGTATCTGGAACGAAAGGAATAGAAGATGCTTTGATGGAATATCAACTACCTACCAATCTTTAAAAGCTAACTGCCTCATGTTTTTGTATAGTTGGGTTTATTCATCCCCTCTAGATTGCCCTGATTCATTTCTGAACCATGTTCGCTCCCTGATTCAATTAACAATGTAAAGGAGAGCTGACCTTTGCTACTAAGCTTTTGTAACTATTATGCATCTACTTGATGCCTGCAATAAAACTAATCACTTCATAAAAAAAAAAAGGGTTCTGAATTTCAAACACTCTATTGGATTCTTTTCCAACTCATGGGAGAGAGAGTGTTTCACTTTGAGAAGAAAAATTTGCTTCAGAGCCACTCATCAGAACCGGCTCCGGTGAAGAGCGGAATCCGCGAAGAAAAAATTTGTGATGGCAATTGAAGTGTCAACTTCATCGTCTGCATTTGTACTGGAGTGAGAGAAATCCCCCAGTGTGTTCTTGTTTTGTGATACGAGCTTAGCTTCAATAGGAGGGGGGATAATAAGAGGAGTTGGACTAATGATATTTTTATTGTTGACAGTTGGGGCTTTCAAAAGCCCAACAACTTTCCAAATTCTTTTTCCTCTTTTAATACCTTTTCTCTTTGGGCCTTTGTTATAATAAACCCGGTCCAAATTTTGAACCACTAAGACCTCTGGTGTTTTAGATTGTACCCTAGTCATAGAGGGTAACTTTTGTAGCGATGAATTTGAATTAAAGTTCATACCCACGTGGTCATTGACTGATTTGACAACACGATCTTTCTCGTGGCTCGATGAGAAATTGGCAAAGATCTTCTCTTTCCCTTTTCTGGTAACAACAGCTTCTACTCCGGTAGAGATGGTGGAGAGTACATCTTCTAAAAGTGAAATTACAAATTTTAGTCTCCAATCAACAACTCAATTTTGGTGGGTGTAACTGTATCTGTATGAGTGACACAAATCTGAGCCCAGTAAAAGCGTGTCCAATTCTTCGTGTCCTCATCAGTTCCGAGAAACCCCTCACAAAAATCACCTATCTTACGAAAGGTTTCTGAAGACCAAGCATGCAAATGAATTCCAAAAGCTTTTACCCATTTGTGCTCCAACTTCACATGGGAGTTTCCGATCGTCAGAGACCACCAAGCGAGTGATAGGCGCCTACCAATTCCAGAACCAATCACTAGGTTTGATGCGAGCTACTTCTTGTCTCGAAGGGAATCAAACAAAAATTGATTGTGTGCTAAGGGAATGACTTTGAGACCTGCAGTAATTTTCCACCTATTGATGAACCATTTCTGGATCACTTCGGAGTTACGACTCTGGTTGAAGGGATCGTTGAAGACACCAACAAGGCATCTACTCAGAGGATGGGAGTTATCAACATCGTTGATTGAACTCGATGTTGCCAACTCGATAACTTTGTTACCTCGAAGTACATTCTCAACTGAGGTGCCGATGGAATAAGAATATTGGGGAACCTCCGCTTACCCAAAAAGTTAAGAATCTTATTTGCAATGTCTATCCAACCCCAGTTATATCCAGCTTCTGGAATTATCACAGACGATTTCTTCTGGCCTGATTAAGCCTCGATTCTTACAAATCTCCCATAAACATTGTAATTCTGATACACTCTAAGAAGATGTGCTTGTTGTTTTCGCCCCCATCTCCTATAAAGATCCCCTGCACCCCTGGAAGCTTGTTTGAGATTGTCACAGACCCACCTTAGGTTATCTTCATCTATTTTGGTGTTGCTTGAGAAACACCTGTTGCATTCTATAATGGAAAACCATCTGGGAAAATCATCACTAATAATTACAACTTCAAAGGACTTATCTTCTGAAACAAAGAAAATCTTATCTCCCATAGCTTGCTGTTATAATGATGATTGTAGCTTTATTGATCATCACCCCCAAAAGCATTCATGCAAAAATTCTTGATTTCCTATGTTGAACCTAGATGTTGGCTTCTAGATCCGTGTACACTCACCCTCCTAGACTCCACTTGCGGGAATATATGGGGTATGTTACTGTTGTTGTTGCAGAAAGTAATCAACCTTCAAACTTTCTGCAGGTTAGACCTGTAGTGGAAACTGAATATGAAAATCTCTTACTTTCACTATATATTGTTGGGGTTGCCAATCACACAAAAGAAGAGAGTCTTGAGGAGCTGGGATATCTTGTAGGTGTCCTTCCATACATATATTAAGGAGTGCCTTTAGCATCTAAAAAGCTCAGCATTTTTTGCCACTTTCTGAAAAAATTACTGCAAAGATCACTTGTTGGTCTGCTAAAATACTATCCTATGCTGGAAGAGTACAATTGATCCAAGTCACTATTTTTTGGGGTGCAACCTTACTAGTCCCAAAGATTTTTGACTCCTAAGAAGGTGATGAAGAGTATTGAACAGATTTGTAGAACTTTCTTGTGCACTGGAAATGTGACCATATCAAAGAAAGCATTGGTTTCTTGGGAGAATATTTGCAAACCTTTTGCAGCTGGGGCCTGAACATTATAAATATATGTATGTGAAATAGAGTTGCAATATTGAAACAGTTACAGAATATAGCAAGAAATAAAGAATGCTTATGAATCCAGTGGGTACACAACTATTTTTCTAAGAAGGAAAGATAATGAAACAGTCCAAATACCAAAGAATGCTTCTTGGGTTGTGAGGACGATATTGGAAGCAAGGGAATGGATACTACAGGGACAAACAACACAAGGAGACTTGAGTTCAGCTTTTGATACAACCCAAGCAGGTGAAAATTTCTCCATACATAAGATGTACACAAGATTGATGCCTCAATTTCCTAGAGTTAACTGGAAGGCCATGCTATATACCCCAGGATTCATCCAAGATTCAAGTTCTTTGTATGGCTAGTTGTTCAGAAGAGATCAGCAACTGTTGACAGGCTGATTAAGCTTGGGATTCAAGTCCCTCCTGATTGTGCTTAGTGTGGATTGACATTAGAAACATTCAGCCATCTATTCTTTTAATGCCAGGAGACAAAGGCATTGTGGAATAGATTGTGTGTATGGCTGGGTTTTGTCAAGAGCTATTCAGGACTGGGAGACAGAGGAGAAATGGGTATCTATGATGGCAAAGAAGAAGTCTGGACTAGCTGAAGTTGTAAGCAATGTTTTTGGTATGCTAGTGTATGTCATATGGAGAGAAAGGAACTTCATCAGACTTCAGAAAAGGAGCATGAACGCTGATGAAGTGCTGAAGGAAATAGTGATGCATATGCACATCAAGAATCTGACCAGGGTAAAATGGATGCACTTCAACAACTCAATGTTTATCCTTAGTTTCTGATTAGATACAGATAGCAATAGATCACTGATCTATATTGGAAGTACTATATAGAAGGATATGGGCTAGTAGAATCTGTTTGTATAGATGAGTGAGAAGGTTGTCCAATATTGCTCTGTTTGTACAGACACTTTTGGCTAGGAATGAAATATGGAGTTTACCAAAAAGAAAAAACATCAAGACTATCTCATTGTTAAAAAAAAAATAAAATGTCAAGAATATGTCACAGAAAAGTAAAGCAAGTTCTACGTGTAAATAAGAGATAAAACTTGATGTCAAATAGACCACATAGGTCGCAAATAACAATTTGATACAAAAGATGAATATCATTCTTTTTGTCTAAGAGCATGAGGAGCATACCAGTAAACTTGGTAATCAAGCAAGCCATAGCTCCATACTTAACTGGATCTTTTTTGTGATATAACATGAAGATAAGATTTTTTTTTTTTTGATGACGTAGTGTCCGGCCAACTTTTGCGCACCTCAACTAATTCCACGGGATACCTGTCACCTCCCATCACCAGCAACAGGTACCAGGTAACTCTGTCCACCAAGGCTAGGACAGATGGGAAGAATCACCTAGTGTTTTTATCTTCGTTGGGATTCGAACCTGAGACCTCATAGCTCTCATCCACTTAATTGGCCACTAGGCAACACCCTTGGGTGCGACGAGAAGATTCTCATTGGCAGCTCTTTTCACAAGTTCCCCACCCTCCACAACGTAAAAAGAAACAATAAACCCTATTCATACCTAGGCAGTGGTTCAAGTGGAATAAACCTCTTGTTCTTTTTTCTTTCTTCGTCTTCTTTTCTCTAATTGAAGAAGTTCCTGGTCCTAATTGTAAGCTGTATCCATTAGGGATCTCTTACCTTTGATCCTTCGTGAAATTTGCACTTGTAGCCTCTGCCGCTCCATGTGCACCATCTATAGATCGCACACAGCTAGCTGTTACCCCATCCCACAACCGAATTGCACCATCTTTGGATGCAGTTACATACATTCCACCTGTAGATGAATACCTAACCTGTAAGGAAATATAATGGTGAGTAAAGAATCCTCTGACCAATGCATACTATGATACCCAATTTACCTGATTAATAGCACTATTGACACCCATATCTTGGAAATTTAGTGGCAGGTAGCATTTGAAAGTGTTTATGTCATATAGGTGGGGAATTGAATGATCAGTTCCTGTAACAACCAACATTATCATGAGACAATTTAGCCAATCGGCATAATGCAAATCGTGTTCAATATTACTGCTACTTCATCTGAATGAGTTAGCAGTAAATGATGATCTTATGATACATAATCGAATAATTGCTTCTCTAACCAATTTTAACTTGTTAGATTTCAAGTCTTAAGAAGAAAGCTTACCGTCCACTATGGTTGGAATTTTTATTAACAGTTCTTGCACTTGAAGTAATTTCACTAATGTGAATATTTCCTAATGCTCTCTCTCTCTCTCTCTCTCTCTCTCTCTCTCTTCTAACGCTCAATGTCATTGAACAGTCTTCTTCCCCTCCCCACCTCCCTTGGACCTAACTCCAGTTGGTGACCACCAGGAAGCTGCACCAGGCAAGTCATCTCCTCTTCTTTCTCATCTTCTCAGACCGCTTCTCTCTCCTCTCCACCCCTTCTTCTCTCCTTTGCAGAAACCCTAGCTCCTAATCTAGGATCTGCAACAGTCTTATTCCCTCTAGACTCTAGTTTATCTCTTTTTCTTCGTTTCTTTTTCTCTTTACCGAGAACCATAAACCACCAGTCCGCTGCTGTGGTTTTAGTATCAGCCACAGTCATCGCTCCACCTTCTCTGTCCTCTTGTTCTTTTCCTTTATAGTTGCTTCTTTCCTCTTCTTTTTCTTTTTTTTTCCTTGTTTCTCGTGGTCTGGTAGTACAGGTGCACACTGAGCAGCGAACAGTAATCTCCAGTTGCAGGGGCAGCAGCAGTATGTGTCGGAGCGTGAGCATCAGCAAATCATTTCAGTCTAGACCAGCAGCAGAGCGTAGATATCTCCAGCCTATACCACGTTCTATCCGCCAGGAGTTGGTACCTTTGGGTGCACTTTTCAGCCCTTATCTTCCGCTCTTGTAGAGATATATATTGCATTAGCATAGCGTAGTGTTGCGTGCAGATTCCATTGTCTTAAGACACTTCTCTTTTTTGTATATTAGTGGTAGTGTTAGTGTCTTGGAACATAGGAACTCTGACGGGAAGTGTATAGAGTTAGTGAAGATTCTCAAGAACAGGAAGATCACAACTTGTGCTCAGGAGACCAGATGGGTGGGTTCTAAGACTAGGGATGTTATAGGGTATAAATTATGATATGCGGGCCAAGGTTGAAGTTGCCTCTGTGGTGGACAAGATATGGTACGCTAGGCTGACAAGGTTCAGACATGTCAAGAGGAGATGTACAAATGCCCAGTGAGAAGGTGTGGGATGTTGACACTGGAAGGCAGGAGGGAAGGTAAGGACTAAGGGTAGCCGAAGAAGTGTTTGGGGAGAGGTAATGACATGGCAAGACTTTAGCTTACCAAAAACATGACCCTTGATGGGAGGGGTATGGAGGTCGAGGATTCGGGCAGAAGAATAACAATAAATAGTTTTGCATATGGTCTTTCTGGCTAGTAGCATTAGTACTATTTTTGATAAATTTATTATTTTACTGTTTCTGTATTGTTATTATTCTTCTATTACTACTTGTATTGCATGCCTCTATTATCTTACTATAGTGCTATTTTTTATGCATTCATAAATGTTGTGTTTATGCTTTCTCTGAGTCTAGGGTCTCACGAAAACTCGGGTAGAGATAAGGTTTGCGTACAGTCTACTCTCCCCATACCTTAGTCGTGGAACTATATTGTATGTTGTTATAGTAGTTTTTGTACTTCATATTAAGTAGTTACAACTTACAACACCTTTGGATCTATATTTCCTCTTAGTTGAAGTTGAGACCAATCATCAACGAGCTGCCCTCCGGAGCTTCATTTCTCTTTTAAGATTTATAAGTCAATATCACATGTTGATTCAATCAAACCAGGTATCATATCAGATAGAAGGCTTTTTTTTTCCTTAACTGCCTTAACATTTAGTTTAATTTTCATTTTCATTTTTTTTTTGAAAATGGTAGTTGTTTCTATTTCTGTACAACAGTACATAGGTTGTATTGAAACCCGTATTTACACAAGAACTCTAATTATATTGACTTATCCCTATAATGAGTCTAAGACATCAATAATAGAGATGGTATCATTAGAGTAAATTTGATTACACCAAAACGCCGAGTCAAAATGCAATTCAGTTTAACTTGTTGCATACTATTCTCCCTATTCTCAAAAGCACTAAGGTTCTTCTCTTTCCATATTGTCCACCAAATAGTGGCAGGGACAATTCTCTAGTTAGTTCTGTTTTTTTGCTCGTGTCCCTGTATAGCTTCTGAAATTCTCCTAGGCATGGACCAAGAGATGCTTTTAAGTCTCAGCAACAGCTGGACGGTGACTTCATATTGGATGAACTTCTGCAGTTCTCCCACAGAAAAAACATCTAGAGCAAAGTGTAATTCTCCTCTTCATTAAATTCTCTCGTGTCTATACTGCTTCTTTAGCCAATAACCACACAAAGCAAGACACCTTGTAGGGGATCTTGGCTTTCCATATGTCTCCAGGGCCACTTGAGTAACTGCAAATTTTGATGGTTCATGGTTCAACTTCTCGTATGTTGCACCTAGTTTAAAAATCCCTTTACTGTTTCCCAACCACTGCGATCTGTCCCACCCTATTTCCAGACCACTAAACTGATCAATGCTTCTAAAAAATTATGTTACTTTTGGAATTTCCCATTGAGGTGTCTTCTAAATACAAAATTCCACACTTGAGGAGTCCATAAGTCAGCTATAGTACTTTGTTGCTGAAGAGCTAAATTGTGGATGTCAGGGAAGAGAGTCTCCATATTTCCTTCAGCATGCCAATCATCCTTCCAGAATCTAGTTTTTATTCCATCTACCACTTTGATCTTGGTATTAGGTTTGTATTCATACCAGAGTTCTCAAATGGATTTCCATAAGCTAACACCATAAGGGGTGGTAACCTCCTTTGTCATCCAACTATCACTCTCTTCATATTTTGCCTTTATGATTAAGCCCCATAAATTCTGATTATCATTTGAGTACTCCCAAAGCCACTTAATCCTAAAAGCTTTGCTCTGATTCTTCATGTTCTTGATCCCCAGACCCTCAACTCTCTTTTCAGTGATCACAGTTTTCCATTTGACTAAGTGATACCCTCTCCTTTCCTTGTTGCCTTGCCATAAAATTTTTCTCATGATGCTATCCAACCTATTGATGATTCCCAGTGGGACAGGAAACAATGACATCATTTATGTTGGAAGTGCACCAAGCTCATAATTAATCAAAGTTAGTCTCCCCCCTAGTGAAAGGTACTAAGACTTCCACCTTGCTAGCCTCTTCTCACACTTTTTAATCACCCCATCCTAGATTTCCATAGACTTGGATTTTGCCCCCAAAGGCATACCCAAATATGTGGTTGGGAGGACAGCTACTTCACATCCCAATATTGACTTCAAAATTTCCATGTTTGGTACTCTTCATTTACTGATACAAGAAGCTTTTCCTCTAGTTGACATGTAGCCCAGATATAACTTCAAAAGTAACTAGAGTCAGTCTTAATATTTTAAGGTGGTCTTTATCAGCATCACAAAAGATCAAGGCGTCATCTGCATATTGTAAATGAGTGATCTCTAGACTTTCCCTTCCAGCTCTAGCAACTTCAAAACCTCTCAGCCACCCTTCATTGCATGCATTCTTGATCATATTGTTGAGTCCCTCCATGACTAGTATGAAAAGGAAGGGTGATAAGGGATCACCCTGAGCCTCTATGTGACCTACAATATCCTGTTGGAGAGCCATTTACCAATACTGAGAAGTTCACTGAAGGTACGCAGAATTCTTCTCTAGCATACCCATAAGAAAGTCCCAATTGACATGGTCATATGCTTTCCCAATGTCTAATTTGCATACATTTCTTGGTCATTTTTTTAGACTAACCTGGAATCTACAACTTCATTAGCTATGAGGACTGCATCCATTATCTGTCTCCCTTTAATAAAAGCTAATTGTTGTGATACAACAAGCT